CCAACAGATTTCACAGAAATCCACCATGAGTCCACCATGAGTCCACCATGAGTCCACCACGAGTCCACCATGAGTCCACCATGAGTCCATCATGAGTATGAAAACCCAACAGATTTCACAGAAATCCACCATGAGTCCACCATGAGTTCACCACGAGTCCACCATGAGTATTAAAACCCAACAGATTTCACAGAAATCCACCATAAGTCCACCATGAGTCCACCACGAGTCCACCATGAGTCCACCATGAGTCCATCATGAGTATTAAAACCCAACAGATTTCACAGAAATCCACCATGAGTCCACCATGAGTCCACCACGAGTCCACCATGAGTCCACCATGAGTCCACCATGAGTATGAAAACCCAACAGATTTCACAGAAATCGAGACTGAGCTCGAATCATCAATTTCCGAATCATTTTCATCCTTAAATGCTTTCCGCAAGAATTCTTTGATTTTCTCTTGAAGATCATCCAATTCATTGAGGCGAGTCAACGATTGCAAGTGTTTTCTCCAACTGGAAAAAGAGAGAGTTGTGAGATTGAATTTACACGTTTTTAACTGTTTTCTGTCTTTCATGGCCCGGCGAAACGCTCAAAATAGCTCACAGTTTGCAATGGACTTGAACAATTATCTATGATTTTTTTTATTTTATTCCATAAAATGATGTATTTGAACACGCTGAATCCCAAAAAGATCGGTTTCTATAGGGCTTTATTGCTTTCCTTAAAACCCCTACCCCCTGAATGCTTGACTGTCTGTGAATCAGGTTTTCCGGATGTAAAATTTCCTGACTGTCCACATTTCACTGTGCGCGACGATCGGAATGATTGCGCTATTGAAATTGCAGTTCAAAAATACTTACCGATCACACATCGATTGTCCATCTCGGTCTATTTTGGCATATTTATGCACTTTTTCCCAGGTGTTTTTTGAGTGCAAATGCAGTCTGTTCATATGGATTCCTTTTTTGATTTGACGATACACAAATTCGTAAAGAATGGTATCCTCATCTTCAGTGTACCGAACTTTTCGTTTATTTATCTTCTTCTTTTTGATATTCTTCGCTTTCTGAAAAATGAACATAATTATCTTATTTTTCCAGAGTTCTCTTTCTTTTAAACTGTCTGTCCAGATATCCGTTTGTCCGGATTTTCAAAACGCCATGTTTTCTGTCTGTGTGTCTGTTTTCCAGAAATCTGTATTTCCAAAACTTTCTCAGATTGCCTTGTGTATTTTCTGTTTGTGTGTACGTATGTCCGGATATCTGTGTGTCTGTTTGTCTCCTAATTCTCACGATTCCTTGTGAATCAGTCATTCCGGGATATCCGGATGTCTAGATTCGGCTAAACCCCTTTCAAAAAGGAACTATTTTTTTTTCAGAACCTCCCCCTTCCCGATAACATTAGCTCCTCTTCGGATTCCTCGCCGACGGATTCATCGGTTAAGAAGTCAGCAGAGACTTCGGCAACAGCCATCCTTCCAAAAAACAACTCCAAGCGGAGTTGATCCCTTTCGTCCTCCAATGATTTGATGCTGAAATTTATTTAATCAGGTAATGAGAAACAACGAAAAAATCTTACATTTCTTCCTTTTCAATAAGTTGCTTCTCGAGTTTCTCAATTGCATCCTCACACACCATAGTTATCATGTAGACGTTCGGCTTGACAGTTTGTCTTTTGAAGAATTCGGCCGCGTCGTCTTCAGTTGATTCACACTGCAATTATAGGAAATTATATTACGTCTGAGGAGAAAAAGCATAAGCCTAGAATCTGGAGCCTGCCATAATCCTGTTTCTAAAAGTAGGGTTTCCACGAGGGCGATCGAAAGCCGTCTTGCCCCTGTTTGGCCTTGCGGTCTAAAGCGCTGGTAGTATTCCATCGCAACACCACTCTTGGGTTCAATTTCAAGTTATCAAAAATTGTTTTTAAATTTGTAAGTTATTGTTTAGAATGTTTGGGATTGAATTCTGTCTTGTGAATCACTGTGAAAAGGTTTCAAAAAGACATGAGCTTCTTTCAAAAGTGTTTTGTTCTTTTTAGTATGCTATATTTGTTGTTCGCTTAGAGTTCTGAGAACTAAATAATTGAAACTTATCAAAAAGAGCAACACTAAAAATGAATGATATTTCCAAGCGCTTTGCAGTGTATTCTTACTCTTATAATAGATGAAAGCAACCATTTGTTCAGAACCCCTTCTGATCAGAATTTAGACAACATAATCAGGAATGAGAAATAAAATATACAGTTGTTTTTTCCAGCTTGAAAATGAATTTTTGAAGACAATCGTAGTAGTAGTTTTTAGTAGAAATAAATAGCGAAAAGCCCGAAAATAGTGATGAAATTCAAGAAGACACCATCACAGCTATAGTTTCAAAAAGAAAAAAACTTTGCCTTATCAGGGGTCGAACTCATCCCCCACATAGGATTACTACCGCGAGGCCAAACGCGCTCGAGACAGCGAGAGCGCAGGGACGGTCGGCAAGAGAGAGGGTGTTGTATGGCGTGTTTAGGGCGGCAGCGGGAGAAGGAGGGCGCCGGCCGCCCTATTTTCATTCGTCCTCGTGGAAACCCTACCTAAAAGTCTTAAGCCTCCAGGATTCAAGATGCTGAGCCGAATTCCAAAACCCCAACCGATGTCCAGGACAATTTCAATAGCGCAATCATTCCGATCGTCGGGCACAGTGAAATGTGGACAGTCAGAAAAATTTACATCCGGAAAACCTTATTCACAGACAGACGGGTTTTAAGTAAAGTGATAAAGCCCTATAGAAATCGATTTTTTTGGGATTCAGCGTGTTCAAATACATCATTTTATGAAATAAAATTTTAAAAAAATCATAGATGATTGTTCAAGTCCATTGCGAACTGTGAGCTGTTTGGCGCGTTTCGCCGGACCATGACAGACAGAAAACAGTCAAAACGAGTAAATTCAATCTTATAACACTCTCTTTTTCCAGTTGGGGAAAACACCTCCGGTCGTTGGATCGCCTCGCTGAACTGGATGATCAAAGAATTCTTAAGGGAAGCGTTCAAGGATTACAATGATTTTGAATTTGATGATTCGAGTAGATCGATGAGCTCTGTCTCAAGGAACCTCCAATCGCTTCATCGCTTGACAGAAATTGATGAACTTGAGGATGACATCAAATAAGTTTTGCGAGCAACAACAAACTAAACTGACAATGACCGGAACACTTGCTCTTCTTAAATAATGAAGTAATAAAGAAAATTGAAATGAAACAATAAAAAATATAAGAACAAACCATAAAACTTTAAAAAATGTTAATGAATGATTAAGCAAATACTATCCCAATGATTTGTGTATTCCGTAAACGCAAATCAGGAGACTTATTTTTTCTTGAAGTCAGGATCTATTAATTGACTAGCAATTCTCGCCTTCGGCGCGCCGGCGGCTGCGCCGCCCGATACGCGGCATTGCCGCTTAAGAAACACGGCCGGGCCGTGTTTTCTGCCGTTATGTGAAATGAGCGCTCGACTGATTGGAACTTGTTAAATTCTATTCAAATTTACTACACTCGATTGATTGTCCTATTTGAAACCATCAGTAGAAAAAGTCATTAACACATGATTTCGAATCAACATGAACCCAAATATGTTTCCAAAAAAAATAAAATGTAAACACCGCAGGGGTTTGAACCCCGACCGAGTGTTTCATAGCCATCTTCACTGCCCACTGCGCCAATCGGCCACACCTGGTAGGCGACTCATGTTGTCCTCAAATAGATGAACACTGTTGACACCGTGAGTGGTGTGCAACGTGCCTGCGGCTGCGGAGTGTTACACTTGTGCGGATGGGTTGGATCGAGAAATAAAACTAATTTCGCCAATACTTATCCTATCAAAATTTTGGCCCGGCCATCCATTAGATATCGGTTTGAAATGATGTTTAGTCAAAAAAAAACAGAACATTTTTAGTTGAAAAATCAGATTTTTTTCGATCTCAAACGATTTCCTCAGTACAAAATTTTCGTTTTTTGAGTTTATCGCGAAACTTTTCAACTTGGGGTTGAGAATCAGAAGGACATGTCCTTCTATTATAGTTTTTACTGTAATTCCAAAATCCCTACCTCAATATAATTGATGACCAATTTGTCCTCCTTCATTGGAGCCTTCGAACGACAGACGACCAAATTCAGTGTGAATCCAGGATTGATGAAATCCGTGTTCGGGGTGGTCCTAAAATTCAGAATTATCGATTGATTTTCTAAGAATTGCTCACTTGTAGACATCGACATTTGTGGTCTTGACCTTGATGGCGAAACGATTTTGAGTAGCATTGCTGAATTTCACAATTGCTTGACCCTCGGGGGCGACCCATTTCAACGAAGTAGTACTGAAAAATGGGAAGGTGAGATCTAGAAAAACTACAAAGACTACAAAGAAGACTTACTTGAAATTGAGAGACATTGCTTCATTTGCTCGAATTGTCACTTTGAAGAAGTTGATTCGTCGAATCAAAATAGAGAACTGATACAGGGAAAACACTGAGGACGTGGAATTGGGAACACGTGGAAATCGAGAGCTTTCGGAGTGAGAGGAAGGAAAGGTCACGTGAATAATCATCCAGAAATTTTAATTTAATTTTTTTATTCAATGGAAACACGTGGATTTTCATTCGTCAATTGACGGTCATAAGGGATACAGAGAGAGACTGACATCGGGACATACAGACACCGAACCGAATTTTCAACTACACATACATCCAGTAATTTACACAAACAGACATTTTTGTACTGAATAATAGGGAATGTTTGAATTTCCTGCAGACTTTGGAAAAATCAGCTCATTTTTTCAAAGCGATATAACTTCAGAACCATTCGTCCAAAAAATTCAAAACAATTTTTCTGAGGTACTATGACATTGCTTGCCGCTCTTCGCTCTCAGCAAGAAATCAATGATAACTTCTCTTCATCAACTACACCAGAACTCCTTCTTCGTACTTTCGATCACTATTGCGAGTACAGGTTTGTGAATTGAATTTATTATGAACCAGTGAGAAACGACGAACTTACAACTGATCAATTAAAATTTCAATGCAAAAACAAACAGTTTTAGGAGGCAATTGTTATAGTTCATACATAGTTAGCTCTCAGAAAACAAATATATTTTAGAACGCCCACTGAACAGCAGCTCAAGGAAGCCGTCGTCATCGTTGCCAATGCAGAGGAATGTTGAGTAAGCTTTTGACCAGTTTTCGTGCTCTCTTTGCCCGATTTTAAGTTATTTTCGGCGAGAAGAAAAAATAATCAGTCAGCTTGAACAAGACACAGGATTAGAGAGAAAGGGTTCGTGATAAATAATTAATGCGCTCGATAAAGTCTTCGGCTTGATTGAAGCAATTGTAGCGAAATCGAGTTCATTGTAAATTATTTCTATTTTTAGGTTCTTCTCCACCGCCGTCGACAAAAAGCTCCGTGAGGGTCTCGAAAGAATGAAGAAGATCCGTCTTTGTCGTGGACTCAGAAACTACTGGAGAAGGACCACCCGTCGGAGTGTCCAAGAAAAAGGGAGAATAAGTCCAATTGTTTGGATGGGATAATGTTAATTCTCGTTCATGTTATTCCAAAAATAAATTGTTATTTTATAAATGCAACTTTTAATTCAATCTTTTGCGCTCGTAAAAAATCGATATCAAAACAAACATTATAGAAGAAAGATCCGGCAGTTAATGGAACATCGCTAATATTCATTGCTAAGACATCCGAAAATCCCTGTACAACAACATTCATCGATATCGTTTCTCCAACGTCTTCTTTCCCAAGGAAAAATAACACTCTAAAGATTTCTAAAGCCATAATTTTTCACCAATCTTGGTTCTGATCTGTTGAATTCGAGAAGTCTTCCAGAGTTGCCAACCAGTCCTCTCCACAATCTGCTGTGTAGCTGAAAGTGCCATCCAACCAATATAATGTCTTCGTGTTCCATGCCAAGCCAGGAAATCACCGAATACAGCTGTCTGCAGGGCTGGATGTCCGACAGTATCTGTTTGTTCAGGTGTCTGCAGGAAATTCAAACATTCCCTTTTATTCAGTACAAAAATGTCTGTTTGTGTAAATTACTGGATGTATGTGTTGTCGCGAATTCGCAGTGATTATATTAATCACTCCTCTCTCGACCTTTTCTTATTAATATTTGTTCTCATTTATTCCGTATTTCACTAGTAAAGATATTTATTCGACGCCGATACAAGCAGTTTGGACGAGGGACCGAGGAGGACGTATTTGAACACCCGCGGCTTTGGACTACTGTACCTGCACATCACGCGCACCTGCACATCAAACCGACGCGCACGCGTTTTTAGGCCAAGTGCCTCGGATATAATTCAGTTTCGTTCGTTGGTTCGACAGTGTGCCGTTCGTTCCCCGATTCCTTACATTTTCGTCCCCTTTGTTTTATATTTAAGTTTTGGCATCAGCAATAAATCTCGGCGTCTTATAAATCAGTGTTCGTGTTTATGATTTGGGGTAATTGGGTCGTCGCACACAAACATTTCGATACTAGGGCAACGATTTTATTTACTATAATCAAGACGATACTGAATATGCCATCTGATATTCGAATCGGAATTACAGTTCACACCGTTTTTTACAAATAAAAGAAATTCGAATAATCTGGATTCTGAATATAGTTTTTCGTAGAATAAAACTCGATATTGTTCTCCTTCACCTGTGAGTATTCATGACGGTTTCTATTGGTTTTTTCCACAAAAAACAGAAAATTGATACTAGTATAAATTTGAATCAATTGAAAAAACATGATAATTTCAATAGGATGGAAGGAAAATCGAAAAGAAGAAAAATGAAATCATCAATTTATTCCACCAAAAGGTATTATCAGAAGCTTGAACTGTGGAGAGAAATGGTGGTTTTGTTATACCTGTTATATGCGGAATTTAAGAAAATGAAACACTTTTCATGCTAAAAATACACCTAAAACAACTAGAAGTATGGAAAAACAAAAAAAAACAAAAAGGAATAAGCCACCTGGATTCGAACCAGTGTCAACAGGGACGTTTGACAGAAGCGTTAACCACTGCGCCATCACTGCAGCACGTGTGCAAGGGTAGCACGGCATAATTGAAAAGGGGGAATGGCTATCGTTGACCAAGAGTAAGAGAAAGAAAAGAAGAATGAAAAAAAATAAATACGTGTTGCACTAGTGTGCACTATTTTCCATCCAAATCGTGGCAGTTCCAGTATCCATCAAAACTGTTTTCACTTCATTCCTTTCTCTCACAAGCTTGTGAATGCCGGAGCTGAGAAGCTCGTCTTCAAGATAAAGACGTCGAACAACAAGGAGTACCGTGTCTCTCCAGTGTTCGGACTCATCGATCCATCTGGATCCAAGGATCTCACTATCACCCGTAATGCCGGAGCACCAAAAGAGGACAAGCTCGTTATCCACTTCGGACCTGCTCCAGCTGATGCCACTGACGCTCAAGCTGCTTTCGGAGCCGTCACTCCAGCTGGAACTGTCACCATTCCATTGTCGGCCACTGAAGAAATGATGACAGATTTGGAGACGGAAACAGAGTCGTCATCAGATGAAGAGAAGGTAATAATATCGGGAAGGGGGAGGAAAAAAGAAATAGTTCTTTTTTGAAACGAATTTTGCCAAATCTAGACATCCGGATATCCCGGAATGACAGATTCACAAGGAATTGTGAGAATTAGGAGACAAACAGACACACAGATATCCGGACATACGTACACACAAACAGAAAATACACAATGCTATCTGAGAAAGTTTTGGAAATACAGATTTCTGGAAAACAGACACACAGACAGAAAACATGGCGTTTTGAAAATCCGGACAAACGGATATCTGGACAGACAGTTTAAAAGAAAGAGAACTCTGGAAAAATAAGATAATTATGTTCATTTTTCAGAAAGCGAAGAAGACAAAGAAGACGAAGGGAAAAAAGGAAAAAAAAATTCGACACTACTCTGAAGCTGAGGATATAAAACTCTACTCGTTCGTCTACAGTCGTCTCCGAAAGGGAATCCCGAAGCACCAGTTGTTATTGGGGAGCAAAGACACTTGGGAGAAGATCAGGAAAATGACCACAATTAATCGAGATGGCGAATCGATGCGGCAGCGGAAAGTATTTTTGAACTGAAATTTCAATAGCGCAATCATTCCGATCGTCGGACACAGTGAAATGTGAACAGTCAGAAAAATTTACATTTTTTATTCAGCGTGTTCAAATACATCATTTTATGGAATAAAATTTTTAAAAAATCATAGATAATTGTTCAAGTCTATTGCTAACTGTGAGCTATTTTGCGCGTTTCGCCGGGCCGTGACAGACAGAAAACAGTCAAAAACGAGTAAATACAATCTTATAACTCTCTCTTTTCCCAGTTGGAAGAAATATTTGAAGTCAATGGATAGAATCCTCGAGATCGATGACTTCGATGAAGAGATGGCAAAAACACTAAGGGCCACTTTCAAAAATGAGATTTCCCTCGTTCCAACCTCAGAAGAATCAGATGCATGAGACGATTAGGAATGATTTTATAATTTTAAAGTATCCTCAATTTCAAAATGTCTTATGCTATGAATAATGAATATTTGGTTTTTTCTTTGTCTTTTCTTCGGAAAAATTAACAAAAATCGATAAACAAATACATACGCAACATAATCAGTCGACAATTCTCGCCATCTACACTTCCACTTCCTCTCTT